CCGCTCTGTCCCGGCTGCTGCCGGAGCCGCTCTCGCCAAAAGCTCCGCTCCTCCCGGGGTCCCCCGTTATCCCCGGCTGTCCCGTTATCCCCGGGCCCCGCTATCCCTGACGGTTCCGCTATCCCCGGCGGTTCCGTTATCCCCGGCGGTTCCGTTATCCCCGGCGCTGCCCCGGTCCCCGCAGCTCCGCTATCCCAGCCCGCTCTCCCCGGCAGCTCCGTTATCCCGGCAGCTCCGTTATCCCCCCTGGTCCCGCTCCGGGCGGGTCCCGCCGCCCCCGCCCTGGCCCCGACCGGCGGCTCCTCCCGCCCCCCGCCCGGAGCCCGGCGGGGCCCCCCGGCCGCGGGACCCCCGCCCCAAAGCCCGGTGCCCCGGCCCCGCACTCACCCCGGGGCATGGCGCGGCGGCGGGCGCGGGGCCGGGCGGCAGCGGCGGCGGGACGAGGAGCAGGACGGGGACGAGGACGAGGAGGAGGAGGAAGTCTGCGGCCGCCTCCTCCGCCGCCCCGGGCGGTCCCGCGGAGAAACTTCCCCCGCCGCGCCCGGCCCCCCGCGCCCGCCGCTTCCTTCCTCGGGCCGGGCCGGGGCAGCGCAGCCCCCGCGCCCCCGGCACCGCCCCGGGCTGCGGCACCGCGCGGGGCCGGGGCAGCGCCCGGGGCGCGACCCCCGGCACCGCCCCGAGCAGGGACCCCGGCGGGTGGGGCAGGGACCCTCCTCCCTCGCCGGCTGCCTGAGCCCCCCGAGCCCCCATCCTTGAGCCCCCCATCCCTTGAGCCCCGAGCCCCCGAGCCCCTCACCCTTGAGCCCCCCACGCCTGAGCCCCCCACCCCTGACCCCACCTCTGATCCCCCAGCTCCGTTCCTGCCCCCCCACCCCTGGCACTCATCCCTGACCCCGCCTCTCATCCCTGAGACCCCCCTGGCCCCCGCCGCTCACCCCGAGCCCGGCGCTGGGGACAGGGCTGGGGACAGACGGGGACACACCGGGACAGCCCGGGGGGGGAGCAGGGAGGGGAGCCCACCCCAGCCGGGGTCACCTGGGGGCTGATGGTGGGGGGAGGTGACACCCCCTGCCCTCGGGGTGTGCGTGGAGAGGGGGTGACAGCACAGGGGTGACAATACAGGGGTGACAGCACAGGGGTGACAGTGCAGAGGTGACAGTACAGGAGTGACAGCACAGGGGTGACAGCATAGGGGTGACAATACAGGGGTGGCAGCACAGGGGTGACAGTGCAGGGGTGACAGCATAGGGGTGACAATACAGGGGTGGCAGCACAGGGGTGGCAGTACAGGGGTGACAGCATAGGGGTGACAATACAGGGGTGACAGCACAGGGGGTGGCAGCACAGGGGTGACAGTGCAGGGGTGACAGTACAGGAGTGACAGCACAGGGGTGACAGCATAGGGGTGACAATACAGGGGTGGCAGCACAGGGGTGACAGTGCAGGGGTGACAGCATAGGGGTGACAATACAGGGGTGGCAGCACAGGGGTGACAGTGCAGGGGTGACAGCATAGGGGTGACAATACAGGGGTGACAGCACAGGGGGTGACAGCACAGGGGTGACAGTGCAGGGGTGACAGTACAGGAGTGACAGCACAGGGGTGACAGCATAGGGGTGACAATACAGGGGTGGCAGCACAGGGGTGACAGTGCAGGGGTGACAGCATAGGGGTGACAATACAGGGGTGGCAGCACAGGGGTGGCAGTACAGGGGTGACAGCATAGGGGTGACAATACAGGGGTGACAGCACAGGGGGTGGCAGCACAGGGGTGACAGTACAGGGGTGACAGTGCAGGGGTGACAGCATAGGGGTGACAATACAGGGGTGGCAGCACAGGGGTGGCAGTACAGGGGTGACAGCATAGGGGTGACAATACAGGGGTGACAGCACAGGGGGTGGCAGCACAGGGGTGACAGTACAGGGGTGACAGTACAGGGGTGACAGCACAGGGGTGACAGTGCAGGGGTGACAGCATAGGGGTGACAATACAGGGGTGGCAGCACAGGGGTGGCAGTACAGGGGTGACAGTACAGGGGTGACAGCAGAGGGTCCCGGGGCTGCTGTGGGAGTGTCCCCCCTCACCCCCGAAGCCAGAGGAGCGCGGGTGCTGTGAGGGACCCCCCACGGGCCGGGTGCCCCAGTCTGGGGGTCCCCACAAGGGCCAGGTCCCCCCAGCAATGCCCACAGCCCATGGGGGTCCGTGGGGCAGGAGGGGCTCGTGGGGGACACCCGGGATGGAGGGGAGGCAGCTCCTGGGGGGGAGTGGCCTGTCCCCATCAGAGTGGCCTGTCCCCATCCCAGTGACCTGTCCCCATGCCAGTGGTCTGTCCCCATCAGAGTGACCTGTCCCCATCCCAGTGACCGGTCCCCATCAGAGTGGCCTGTCCCCACCCCAGTGGCCTGTCCCCATCCCAGTGACCTGTCCCCATCAGAGTGACCTGTCCCCATCAGAGTGACCTGTCTCCATCCCAGTGGCCTGTCCCCATCAGAGTGGCCCGTCCCCATGCCAGTGGCCTGTCCCCATGCCAGTGGCCTGTCCCCATCCTCATCTCGGGGTCTGCAGGTGTGGCACCCTGCCCACAGGCAGCATCCTCCCCAGTGCCAGCACGGGGACCAGAACCAAGGGACACTGGACAGGAGCCAGCCCCGCGTCCCAGCCTGGACACCGCCATGGCCGGGGGACCCCGTGTGGGGCCGGCCTGGGACCCCCAGCCCAGAGCGGGGGCGTGGGCACCTGGCTGGGAGGAGCCTGCTCCGGGGACAGGGGACAGACAGCGACAGGGACAGGGGACAGACAGCGACAGCGACAGGGGACACACAGCCACAGGGGCAGGGGACAGACAGCGACAGGGACAGGGGACAGACAGCGACAGCGACAGGGGACAGACAGCGACAGGGACAGGGGACACACAGCGACAGGGACAGGGGACAGACAGCGACAGCGACAGGGGACACACAGCCACAGGGACAGGGGACACACAGCGACAGGGGCAGGGGACAGACAGCGACAGCGACAGGGGACACACAGCGACAGGGACAGGGACACACAGCGACAGGGACAGGGGACAGACAGCGACAGGGGCAGGGGACACACAGCGACAGCGACAGGGGACACACAGTGACAGGGACAGGGGACAGACAGCGACAGCGACAGGGGACACACAGCGACAGGGACAGGGACACACAGCGACAGGGACAGGGGACACACAGCGACAGGGGCAGGGGACAGACAGCGACAGCGACAGGGGACACACAGCGACAGCGACAGGGGACACACAGTGACAGGGCTGTCACTGCCCGGAGCACCCCGGCCCAGTGGGACAGATGTGAGGGCTGGGACAGATGTGAGATCCCCGTCCCCTCGCAGCCGCTGGCCTCAGGGCACACTGGTGGCCTCAGGTCACGCTCCAGCCGTGCCACCCGGAGTTGGTGGCCCTGGAGGTGTCCCAGCTCTGGGAGGTGTCACGATCTCCTCAGCCCCGCTGCGAACCAGGAGCCGCGTGCTGGGACCCCAAGGTGTCACTGCCCAGAGGGCCGGGCTGGGGGACACGTCGGGGTGGGTGACATGTCGGGCTGTGTCCCGTGGTGTCATGGTGTGTCCCATGCTGTGATGTGTCACATGTTGCAGTGTGTCACATGGGGGTGTCACATGTTAGGTGTGTACCCTGTCGCGGTGTGCCCCATGTCGGTGTGTCCCACGTTGCTGTGTCCCCTGTCGCTGTGTCCCCTGTCGCGATGCGTCCCCTGTCCCTGCGTGTCCCCTGTCGTGGTGTGTCCCCTGTTGCTACGTCCCCTGTCTCTGCGTCCCCTGTCGCTGTGTCCCCTGTCGCGATGTATCCCCTCTGCCGGTGTCTCTCCTGTCGCGATGTGTCCCTTGGGCTGTCTCCCCTATCGAGGTGTGTCCCATGTCGGTGTGTCCCAGGTCAGTGTGTCCCCTGTCACTGTGTCCCCTGTCCCGGTGTCACTCCTGTCGCGCTGTGTCCCATGGGCTGTCTCCCCTATCGCGGTGTGTCCCCTATCGCACCGTGTCCCCTATCGCACTGTGTCCCCCGTCCCGGTGTGTCCCCTGTCCCGGTGTCTCTCCTGTCGCACCGTGTCCCCTATCGCACAGTCTCCCCTGTCCCACTGTGTCCCCTACCGCACCGTGTCCCCTGTCCCGCTGTGTCCCCCGTCCCGGTGTGTCTCCTGTCGCGATGTGTCCCCTGTCCCGGTGTCTCTCCTGTCTCACCGTGTCCCCTATCACACCGTGTCCCCTATCGCACCGTGTCCCCTGTCCCGCTGTGTCCCCTGTCCCGTTGTGTCCCCTGTCCCGGTGTCTCTCCTGTCGCACCATGTCCCCCGTCCCGCTGTGTCCCCGTCCCGTTGTGTCCCCCGTCCCGCTGTGTCCCCTATCACACCGTGTCCCCTATCGCACCGTGTCCCCTGTCCCGGTGTGTCCCCTATCGCACCGTGTCCCCTATCGCACCGTGTCCCCCGTCCCGCTGCGTCCCTGTCCCCCCAGTCCCGCCATTCCCCTCTCCGCCCACCAGAGGTCGCTGCGCGCCAGCGCCGTGCGCGTGCGGGCGGGAGGGGGCGTGGCCACGTGCCCGCCCCGTCGGCTCCGCCCTGGTGGGTGTGACCCGGCGGCGCTTGGCCACTCCCCCTGTCAGCGCGCGCGCGGCGGCGCCAGGGCCCGGTGCGTAGGGCGGCGCGCGGGGGGGCGGACGAGACCACCGTGGCGGCGGGCGGGGGGGGGGGGGTGCGGGGCTGTCCCGGCACAGACAGAGCGAGGTTTTCCGGGAGGCGTCGCTGACAGGAGGCGGCGGAGGGACGGAGCGGGCCGGGGAGGCGTTAGCGGAGGTGGCGGGAAGCGGGGTTATCCCGGCAGAGCGGAGAGGGGCCGGCGGGGTTACCCCGGGAAGAGACCACTGAGGGCGGGGGGACGGGGGCTGTCCGGGGAGAGACCACTGCGGCGGGGGGGGGAGGCTGTCCTGGGAGAGACCACTGCGGGGCGAGGGGGGCAGAGGGTTCCGGTAGCCGGTGCGCGGCCGCAGCTGGCGGCGGTGCCGGGATAGTCGGGATAGCCGGGATAACCGGGACACCCCGCGGGCCCCCAGCCGGTGCCGATGCCGAGGAGCAGCTGACGGCGGCGGGGACGCGGAAATGGAGCCGCGGCCGGGCCGGGCCGTGCGGGCGCTGTGCGGCCTCTTCCTCCTTCTCCTCCTCCTCGTCCTGCAGCATCCCGGGCGCGCCGAGCGGGCCCCCGGCTCCCACCTGGACGACTCGGCCATCGCAGGTGAGTCCCGGCAGGGCCCCGCGGTGCCCTGCCCGCCCCGCCGGGCGCTGCCCGGGGAAGGCCGTGCCAGCCCCCTCCGCACTCCCTTTTGGGGCCATTCCTCCGCCTTTCGGGCAAGAGCTGCGGCGATCCCCGCTTCGGGACCCCGCAAGGACCGAAATAACCCCGGGGTGTTCCTGCGGCGGGCTCCGGCTGGTTGGGTCAAAAGTTTGAAATTTCAGCTCATTTACAGTATTGCGCTCTTCTTCGTTAAATGGCATCGACCGGGAGCGGTTGGCGGGATTTAGGATAATTAGTGTTATTTACTGGTTCGCCCCGCGGTAACGAGAGCGGTGCCGGGAGCTGGGGAGCCGGGGGTTCCTCATGGGCTGCTCCGGGCCGTTCCGGCTGTGGGAGCCCGGCGGTGCAGGAGCAGCAGTCCCACCTGAGGAGCACGGGCAGCGCAGCCCCGGCGCTCTGCTCGCCCCGTTGCCATCCCCTCCGCCCCGAGAGCCGGGCGGGCAGCGGGAGCCGAGCCCCGCACGCTGCGGGATTGCCCCGGAGCCGGCTCCGTGGGCTCCGTGTCCTTGTGGCGGTGCCCGAGGTCAGCCGGAGCGGTGTGTCCGGGCCGGGCCCAGCCCCGGGCGGCTGCGGGCAGCGGCAGTGCCGAGCCCCGCTGCCGGGACCCGCGGGTGCAGCCCGGCCCGGGCAGGCCTGCCTGGGGGCGGCTCGGGGGATGCGGGCGCGGGGAAGGGGCTGGGGCCGTGTTCGGATGCTGCTGTTTGATGGAAGGCGCCGCAGCGGAGCCCTGGCAAGGGCTCGGCTCTGAGCCCGGGGCTTGCCGGGGGCAAGGAGCGGGGCAAGGAGCCGGCCCTGGAGCGGGGGAGAAGCAGAACCAAGGGCAGCTCGGGGTGGGAGCCCGGGCACCTCGGCGGCTCCATCCCGACCCAGGATGGGATCCATCACTCGCTGTCCCCGGGACGAGGGCTCCTCATCCCCTCTGGCCGTGCCCCTGAACCCTCGGGCCCGTTCGCATCCAGTGCGCTCCACTAAGGAAACTGGATCTCCGCAGTCCTTGTGAAGCAAGGTTTGTGCCTCCGAGGAATTTCCAGCGCGGTTATTTTTGGAGGCCCTGCAGAAGTGTGGCAGCCTGGGTGATTCAGCTGCTGGCTGTGCTCTTGGCGAGCGGAGGCAGCCCCGGCACGGGCGGCAGCGCTGCCCCCGCCGCGGCTGCTCCGGCGCTCCGGGTCACGCTGGGCCGTGGTTCGGCTCCGAGCCGCCGTGGGGCTCCTGCCTGGCTGGGCTGCAGCCCCAAAGTGCAGGAATGGGGCCAGGGAGGGGTCGGTGTCCCCCGCTCCGTGTCCCGTGCCCCGGGACGGCTCCGTGCCCTCTGCTGCCGCGGGTCCGCGAGGTCTCTTGGCCGCTGCGTTCGGAGCTCTCTGGGCTGTGGTGGCTCCCAGCAGGGAATGTCCCCAGCCCGCACAGGACACGCTTTTCCCGCTGCTTTCCCTGGAAGCAGAAGGTGTTGGCTGCTCGGTGGGAGGCGGAGGTGAGTGCTGGACGTTTTTGAAAGTGAAAGTGCTCGGCTCTGACACCTTTGCTCCAACGTGCAAAGGTTTCTTTTTTTTTTTTTTAATTTTTAAATTAGGATGGCAGGATTTTAACGTTAAAACGTCAGCACCGGGGACGTTTCTCAGGCAGTGCAGGGAAGTGCTTGCAGAGAGCAGGAGCCTGAGCTGCAGCACTGCTTGGGCTGCTGGGGCTGCTCTGCACACTCAGGGGATGGATGCATCAGCAGGTTTTTTACAGGATTAGGGAATGATCCCAATTCATAGTTTGGGAGATATTTTAAGCAAGAGTCTGAAATGGGTGGGTTTATCCATGCAGGAAGATAAGAGTTGGTGACTGAACCCCGGGGAAAACCAGATTTTCTCCTGGCTTTGACTCGCTCAGAGGCGAATTGAGGCCTTAATCTCTGATCTGTAATCCTTTCCTGCCGGGATCGCGCTGAGGTTTGGTTCCACTCGGCAGCACAGGAGCCCTGTAAGGAGCTGTGGGGCTTGGGAGCCCCTGGCCCTGCCCGAGCCCGGCCTGGGCTCCTGCCGCTGTCACAGGATGTGTGACGGCCCCGCGGCATTGTTTGCACCGGCCCTGGTTATTTTTAGCCCGAATTTGTCAGGCTGCAACCCGGCCTGGGACCTTTTCACACCCCCTAAAAGGGGGCAAACCAGGCTCCTCGGGGACAAACTGGACTTCCAGGAATTTCCCCCCCTCTTTCTGCTCATTTGCTGTACTCTGGCTGTTGCCCAGATCAGGCAGGTTTTGGTGCTTTTTCTGGCCCTTATCAGAACATCCTCCGGGGCTGTGGTCAGTGTTTTACATGTGGGCCGTCAAAAATGTGCCCCATTGTTTGGGTTAATTGTCTTAAACTTCATCTCATTTAAAATACTAGTCTTGCTCAGTGGGGTCTTGCTCCTTAAATCACATCACCTGGAGCCAGTGTGCGGGATTTAGGGTTGTTTTTATTTTAATTGCTTGCCCTCTGTGCATCCCAGCACCGGTGGGCACTCCCAGGTGTGCTTGTTGGAGATCCAAGGAAAGCTGGCTGTGGAGGATTGGGGGTTTGGGTGGCTGGGGCTCATCCCTGGTTCCCAAACAATCCCAGGTGTGTTTGTAGGGGATCCTGGCTGTGGAGGATTGGGGGTTTGGGTGGCTGGGGCTCATCCCTGGCTCCCTCAATGGTGACAGTTTCTCCTGCAGATCCAGGGGGACCCAGATCCCCCTGCAGTAATATGGAAGTGGTGGCAGTCTGCATTGCCCTGAGCCTTATTTCATTGTGCAGGGAATTCCCTCCTGGGGTCTGGCATCCACAGGGATCTGGGGCCTCCTGGGGTCCCTGTTCTGGGGTCCTTGAGGCAGGTCAGGGATCGTGGTGTGGATTTTCCCTCTTTCCTGCAGCAGCTCGGAGGTGGGCTCTGAGTTCTGTGTTGGGTGGAGGCATTTTTGGGTGATGCCTCAGAGGGTGGCAAGGGCTGGGCTCTGGTGCAGGGCTGGCACAGGTTTGGTGGCTTTTCCTCTCTCCACAGCAGCTCCTCTTTCTCATCCTTGCTCCTTCTCCTGCCCTGTCTCCTGCTTCACTTATTCCTTCTCACAGCCCTTCTTGAGTCATCTTTGCTCTTATCTCAGTGCTTTAAAGAACGAGTTGAAACCACATCGTGATCGTGTCAGTGCCCAAGGCTGGAGGGCTGTGCCCAGGGCTGTTCTGTGTTTGCCTGGAGCTGCCCCTGAACCCTGGAGCATCCTGTGGGACAAAGTCAGGGTGAGGAAGGGGGGCTGCAGCCACAGGCTGGTGACTGTCAGTGATTCCAGAGGGGACAATGTGAATTTCTGTGTAAGGAGGCTGTGCCCAAGCCCTGTCTGTCCTTGCCGTCCCAGGGCCCAGGGATTCATTGGAAGTGAATCCTTCACTGCAAAACCTCTGCCTTGGCAAGTGCTGGGTTTGGGCTTCAAAGCAGCAGGAGGGATTTTGTGCTGTGAGCAGGAGGAGGCCTCAGTGGAGCCGTGGGGAGCTCAGGGATGGCTCACCCTGCAGGGTGGGACAGGCTGGGTCTCTGCCCTTCCACACACCTGGGGGAGTTCACGGGGCACAGTGACCCGCTGTGCCCTCCTTGCTTTGGTAAAATGCCTTGTAAGGGAGATTCTGCTGTTAAATTCATTCCTTCGGGGGGTTCACTGAGTAGAAGTTGCACCTGTGAGCAGCAGCTTTGGGTTGGGTGAGGGAGAGGAAGCAGTTGTGGGAATACCTGGAGGCTCTGCCAGGGAAAAGTCCGTGTTCTTCCCCGGCTCAGCTGGAAGCACAGTCTCGGCTTCCTTCGGGAATGGAACTCATCTCGAGGAATTGCCATTCTGAGGGCTGGAAAAATCGTGTTTTGGCAGCAAAGGGGCCTCATGTGGAGAAGGAGGAGGAGCAGGGCCGGCTGGGCAGCGCTGGGGCTGCTGGGGAGCTCCTGGCTCCCTCCAGCTCATTCCCTTCCCTGCTTGGCCCAGGAACTTGGAGTAATGCTGAGCTGGATCAGAGAGAGGCTCTTAATTTAATTTCTTGTTAGATTTATTTATTTGCTGCCTTGGAAAGCAGCTGTCTCCATGTCTGCTGTGCCCCTGGGGTGGTCCCTTCCTGCAGGAGGGTGCAGGGGGAGCTGCTGGGGCACGGCTGGGGCTGCAGCTCCTGCTCCAAACCGGGCTTTGGGTTGGCCTTTCCCACCGTGGGGCAGGGATACACACTCCCACGTGGATGTCCAAGGCAGCAATCCCTCAGTCCTTTCCATCCTTTGCTCTCAGGAGGGCATGGAGCACACAGTGTGTGAGGAAGGAGCCTCCTGGCATCCCTTGTGGTGCAGCTGCAGGCTCTGGGATGCCCTGGTGGTCCTGGAGCAGAGCCTCATCCCAGGAGGGTGAGAAGAGAAGCACTTTGTGTTTCTGTGGCCCGTGGGCTGCCTGGGCGTGTTGGTACACCACAGTTCCCTGTGGGAGCTCTCTCCTCCTTGGGGCAGGGCCTGGAGGGATGGGTGAGTGTCTGGGGACAGCCCAGGGGAGCTGAGGTGCCCTCCAGGGAGCTGTGGTTCATGATCTGCCTGCCTTTGGGGAGGGAGGGCAGCTAAAAGCCCATCCTGGTATTTAGGGGCTGCCCAGGGAGCTTTGCAGTGCCCATCCCTGCAGGTGTGCCCTGGAGGTGGCACTGAGTGCTCTGCGCTGGGGACAAGGTGGGCACAGCTGGCACTGCATGGGCTGGCAGGGCTGTGCCAGCCCCAGGGATTTGGGCATTTCTTAGTAAAATATCCGCTTCTGTGAGCTGGTGGGTGATCAGCAGCACTTCCCTGGGGTTATCCCTGTCCTGCTGCTTGTCCCACTTGGAGGCTGTGCTGGCAGTGCCTCATGGCCCTGGTGCTTCCAAGCCCGGGGGCAGTGCCAGCCCTGGCCACCCTTCGGTGCTGGACCGTGCCCAGCCTGGCATCCTGCTCCTC